AATGTAATGTGTTGAGAGATGTATCCATAGATCTCTCCATGTTGCTCTCAAAGTGCACCAGATTGATGCTTTTAACTTCAATATTTAAAACAAAATCTTCCCGGGGGAGCATCCACCTGGAACCCCAAGGAGGAGGTTAAGTCCACCCCCCACTCATAAAAAATAGCACTTTACCCCTGCCTATATGCTGTGAGCTGACTATCGAGCCTTCATTGTAACAGTTGCGGATACACTGTGTATATGCTTGGGGATTGTTGCAGTAGAAAATTCAACTGTAGCGACCGGTACATTAATGGGAAACCCCACATGTTTGAGCACCCTCTATGAAACGTCTAGCTACCCCACAGCACCCCCAAAAGAAAATCTCTGGCACCGCCCATGATGAGCATAGAGGTATAATGTATCTGTAGGCTACAAGGGTGGTCCGCACGCGCCTGAACGTCCCGGCTGAATTTGTGTCCCAGTCCTCCCCTGCCAGTCTGAGATTTAGTTTAGTTTATTTATTTATTTATAGTGTCGTGGACAGTCCCCATCGATGAACTGTCACAAAAACAGTAAATGGAGCAGCTTTAGCCGACATGGCTAATTTCCAGCTGTTGTCCCCAGTCAGATAAATTAAAGAAGTGCATCAGTACCTCTAAAGCTTTTCTGTTTGTCTCTGTTTTTTTGTAGATGACGGACCATATGGAAAAACGAAAGATATCTCCGGACCAGAACAGACCATGGCCTCCAGAAGACACAGTATACCAGGTAAAGCCATCTATCTATCTATCTCCATCTATCCTTCTATCCATCCATACATCCATAAATCCATCCATCCAATGCTTAGTAAACTACTGTGAACTCTATAATACAGACTTTGTCACACACTGAATCATCATAAGGATCTTATCATGATTTGTAGTAGTAGTATAATTTAATGAAAGCGTTTTGCTCAAAGAGTTTGAAGCATTTAAAAAAACTTGCTGTGCGAACAAGATCATGTTCACTATCTGATTCTGATCTACTTTGTATTTTGATGACAGTGTGACCTTATGTCTGCAGATACAGTGTTATAACACCAAGGTCTCAGGTTGTCTATTATCTACTAAATGTGCCTGTTCTGAAAGGTTCCCTAAATGCATTCTGATCATACTTGCCATAGCCCTCGAGACGTTTACCATTATTTATGTTATGTCTTTTTTTATGATATCCCATTTACTTTACGAAAACAATATATCCTTGAATGGTAAACTAATGGACAGCCAGTCATTGTGAAACAGTGGAGAGGAGACAGTGCTTCTCCTCATATCAACTTGAATGGGCCTAAAATAGGAATGGGCCTGGGCCTAACCCTAGCCCTGCAGTACAGTATGGCATAACCAAACATCCAGTGCAAACAGGAAATATACCACAATAAAAGAGCATGATTATTCTTGCACTATTCATTGCGCTGCTTTCATTGCCAACCTTCAAGCAGACACATGGCTTAAAGAGAGCCAACAGGAAAGCTCAAAAAATGTCTGTATTATTGGAGAATTGTGTTTAAATGTTCGTATTCATATTTCTGAATGATACATTTATGCTCTGTATCAAATTGTGCTTTTTAAATCTGTAATCATTACTACTTTCTTTCTCATCAGAATTTCTTTAAAGAGGCCTTATTATGCATTCGGAGTTGTTCCTTTCCTGTAGTGTGTTTGTAGATTTGTGTGCATGTAAATGGTCTGCAAAGGCTAAAATCCCAAATTTCCCTCCACTATTACCTGTATAAGCTTTCTTTTTCCCTTATGAATTTGTTCAAATGCCTCCATTGAGTCCACCATCCTATTTCTCTATTTCTTCTATTCTATTTCTTCTTTGCTGTTTTCTTCATATTTACTGTACCAATCTTTATGCATACATAGTTTCAAGCATCACTTTGCTTTAATAGCTTACAATGTTGTCTAAATGTGTGTCATTCCCCCCCCCCCATACTTTCATGTGTGTTTGAGAGAGATAACATTTTTCCATTTCCCGGATCATCATTAGATGTGAAATAACTTTCCTCGGTTCTCTGTTTTGATAATAAAAAACATTTCATGAGTTATTGTCTGTGTTGTACCATCTTCTCCTGTGTATTCCTAAGCATCAAAATGAAATGGTAGATAACACGTTATGAATCCCAACACACTCACTCCTGCATCTGTTGATAAAATAACTCATTTTGAGAGGGATTCAGTTCAGAAGAACCCATCGGCATCAAACTACACGTGTAAAAGCTTTAATACTTTTACACAAATATGAACAGCACAAATGAATGATTAAGTGCCTTTTGCAGGTAATGTGTGTTTGTGTGAATATGTGTGTGTTGAAACCCCCAGATATAGCTGTGGTATGAAGCACCTCACTGATCCTCAGAGCGTCTCAGGGATTTAACTAATCTAACCATCTATTACACCAAAGCTTAATTTCACGTGTGTGTGTGTGTGTGTGTGTGTGTGTGTGTGTGTGTGTGTGTGCGCGCGCGCACGTGCGTGGTTGTGTGTCAAGGTTCACTTTCTACTTTTTGCATCAATGCTTTTCTCATTTTACCTGCTAATGTTCTCCTGGCTGCTTTGAATCAAAACACATTATTGGATTATTAATGTCAATAAAAATAATGTATGCAACATACTGCTGCTATATTACTTATATTGAAATATTATATTACTTACACAAATTATTTGTAATGTAATATATACTGTATGTTGTAGAACAGTGTGGACATTGACAAAAAATGTAAGTTTATAATCATATCTTAGTATTATATTGTACTTTAGCTTAATGTGTTTATATTAGGGCTGTCAGTCGATTAAAATATGTAATCGTGATTAATCGCATGATTGTCCATAGTTAATCACGATTAATCGCACATTAATCGCACATTTTGTATCTGTTCTAAATGTACCTTCGAGGGATGTTTTTCAAGTTTTTAATACTCTTATCAACATATGAGTGGACAAATATGTTTTATGCAAATGTTTGTTTATTATCATTTGAACAATGACAAATATTCTCATGAATATTAAACACAACAACCTCTGAACATCAAAAATATTCGCCTCACTTCAACCTGGAACCTCTCTCATACAATACAAAGTGTGTGTGTGTGTGTGTGTGTGTGTGTGTGTGTGTGTGTGTGTGTGTGTGTGTGTGTGTGTGTGTGTGTGTGTGTGTGTGTGTGTGTGTGTGTGTGTGTGGAGAGACACTGATGGATCGTTGGAGCTATGTGCAACTCAAGGCATATGCTCGAACCGGAGCTGCCTGGACGCTGCAATCATGTTGCGCACACTATCCGTGCTGAGTGTGCTGACTTTTCGTACAATGTCCCACTGTCTGGCTACCTGCATAAAGTCAAGTGCTCGGGGCAGTTGTCGGCGAAATGTCGCTCCTCTGTTTTCATTGAAACAACTCCTTATATCCGTTAGCGCAGCTAGCTAGCACCAGATGCTAACAACAACAATACACGTAAGGTGTGTGCGCTCTCTCTCCCCTCTCACCCTCCCGGTCCTCCCGATGAGCGTGGAAGTGTGTTCTGCCGCAAGCGGGCGGCAGGAGCGGGGCTGTCAGCATCAGCTTGTAGATGGTATTTTAAACTCGATGCGCTCTGAAACTACAGTGCGGCCGAAGGTAAAAAATATACACATGCGTTAATCGCGTACATTTTTTTCTGCGTTAACGCGTTATTAACGCTGTTAACTTGACAGCCCTAGTTTTTATAAAACTTCCTTATTTACTTGTTCTTTGTATTGCACACTAACTTAATTTGTTTATATACATTGTTACGACCCGCCCTCTACTAGTGGTAGAGGCTCGTGGGGAGACCCGCAACATAAAATAAAACACAGCAAACACGCAGCATTTAACAGCGATCATTTATTTAGACACAACCATACTCACATGGCCAACCGGCAAATGAACAATGGGGCTG